GTAATACAGGGTCATGTTAGAGCTTACTGGGCTTCAAAGAGGGCAAATTGTTTGTGCCCGCTTAGCTGCTGCCTCTCTGACTGACGTTGCCAATTTATTCACTATATCATGAGGTACAGTATCAAAGGTTATGACGACATATACCGTTTCTGGGAAACCGTCGTCCAATAAGCATACGCACGGTTGACATGATCAACTGACCAAAAGACACAAAAGGACATTACACAGTATTGTGACCCAGAAAAAAAAAAACAACTGCTGCAAAAGTGACAGCAGAGCTTAACCTCAGTCTTCTAAAGCCCATGTTCACAAAAAATATGGAGGGAACTCCATAAGCAAAACATTCTGGATCAAGCTGCACTTGCCAAATCACTAGTGACCAATAATAATGCTCAGAGGAAGAGAGTGGTTTAACACCCATAAATTGTGCACTATCGATCAAGGGAACACTGTAGTATGGTTTGTTTAATCAAGCTTCACACTGTTCCCAACCACAGGATGTGTGGCGGACACCATCCCAAGCTTACAGCCAGGACTGTTTTGTGCCAACATTAAAGCATGGTGGTAGTGCAATCATGGTTTGGGCAGCTATATCTTGGTATTTTGCAGGCCCTATCATCGCCTTGGAAGTTAGAATAACTAGTTTATAGCTGGACTGAGAGATTGCAGTGGGTATTGTATAGGGGTTATAAGTTATTTTATTTGGCTGAGAGGGTCAGTTTGTTTAGGGAGGCATGGAATATAATAGGTGGCTGGAATGTTGTTTTTTTTGGGGGAAATATAGTTTGGGCTTGATGGGAAGGTTATAGAGGTTTGCATGTCTTCGTATGTACAGAGTTGGTTAAAGTGATCACTGTAAGTAAAAGATGTAAATGTAAGTAGTCCAACTGGGATGATGTTTCAAATGTGATGATGTTTGGTGGGGTATTTTATGGGAGTATGTGGGTGGTTGAATGGGTGGTGGCTTTGGGGGTTGTGTGGGTAGATGAGGGGATTGTTGTATGTGTTATACAGGTGAAACTCGAAAAACTAGAGTATCGTGCAAAAGTTAATTTATTTTAGTAATGCAACTTAAAAGGTGAAACTAATATATGAGAGAGACTCATTACATGCAAAGCAAGATAGTTCAAGCCGTGATTTGTCATAATTGTGATGATTATGGCTTACAGCTCATGAAAACCCCAAATCCACAATCTCAGAAAATTAGAATATTGTGAAAAGGTGAATCACAATCATGGGAAAGACTGCTGACCTGACAGTTGTGCAGAAAACCATCATTGACACCCTCCATAAGGAAGGAAAGCCTCAAAAGGTAATTGAAAAAGAAGTTGGATGTTCCCAAAGTGCTGTATCAAAGCACATTAATAGAAAGTTATGTGGAAGGGAAAAGTGTGGAAGAAAAAGGTGCGCAAGCAGCAGGGATGACCGCAGCCTGGAGAGGATTGTCAGGAAAAGGCCATTCAAAAGTGTTGGGGACTTTCCCAAGGAGTGGACTGAGGCTGGAGTCAGTGCATCAAGAGCCACCACACACAGACGGATCCTGGACATGGGCTTCAAATGTTGTATTCCTCTTGTCAAGCCACTCCTGAACAACAAACAACATTAGAAGCGTCTTACCTGGGCTAAAGAAAAACAGACCTGGTCTGTTGCTCAGTGATCCAAAGTCCTCTTTTCTGATGAGAGCAACTTTTGCATCTCATTTGGAAACCAAGGACCCAGAGTATGGAGGAAGAATGGTGAGGCGCACACTATAAGATGCTTGAAGTCCAGTGTGAAGTTTCCAGTCTGTGTTGATTTGGGGAGCCATGTTATCTGCTGGTGTTGGTCCACTGTGCTTCATTAACCTCCCTGGCAGTATGATTATTTCAGATTTTTGGTGCTGAAAGCGGTACCATTATTTTGCAAGGAAATATGTAGTTTTTTTTATTGTAGGCCTGTAATTTTTAGGAATAACTCACTGAAATCTGCCTGAACAAGAGTCTAGTAAACATTCCGGATATGATAAAACTTGAAACACGAAATCATAAATTATAATTTAATAATCATAAAAAATAATATAATAATACATTTAATTCAATAATATAATCAAACCAAAAACACTGACATTTTAAATATAGCGCCAAGTTCGCACATCACTGAGCAAAGTCGCAAAATCGTTTTCAGTGTCTGACGAATTTCCCCACAAATCATTATCACTCAATTCTGCAAGTGGTTCTAATTTACTATCGCTGTTCTCCAGCCGGTCTAAAACCGCTTTTGACCTAAAAGGACGCTTTTTGGACACCATGGACTTTTCTAAGTTTCCAGGCAGAAAGAACAGTCAAAATGCAGGCAGGCCACAGGACAAAGCACTAGGGACAAAATGTATGTGAAATGCTTTGAAACAGCAATGTTTTGCTATGTAATATTTGTTTACAAAAAAATGGCAGTTTTTAAAATTTTTAACTTTTGTTGCCGGTTCCGGCCCCGGTACGTCCCGACATCACATGGACCGGAACACGGAAGCTGGATGCCGGCATCGGCTGGAGGAGATGGCCAGGGACGCTGCAGGAGGGACATCGCGGGGAGCGAAGGACAAGGTAAGCGCCACAGGGAATCCCTGAGCAACGCCGCATGGTAAGCCCGAGTGTAGCTCGGGGATACCGCTTTTGGTACTGAAATTCTACCCAGAGCTACACTCGGGAATACCGCCATGGAGGTTAAGTCCAGGGTCAATGCAGCCATCTAGCAAGAGATTTTGGAGCACTTCATGCTTCCTTCTGCAGATGAGCGTTATGGGGATGCTGACTTCATTTTCCAGCAGGACTTGGCACCTGCCCACACTGCCAAAAGCACCAAAACTTGGTTCAATGACTGTGGGATTACTGTGCTTGATTGGCCAGCAAACCCGCCTGACCTGAACCCCATAGAGAATCTATGGGGCATTGTCAAGAGAAAGATGAGAGACATGAGACCGAACAATGCAGAAGAGCTGAAGGCCGCTTTTGAAGCATCCTGGTCTTCCATAACACCTCAGCAGCGCCACAGGCTGATAGCTTCCATGCCATGCCGCATTGAGGCAGTAATTGCTGCAAAAGGGGCCCAAACCAAGTCCTGAGTACATATGCATGCTTATATTTTTCAGAGGTCCGATATTGTTCTATGTACAATCCTTGTTTTATTGATTGCATGTAATATTCTAATTTTCTGAGATTGTGGATTTGGGGTTTTCATGAGCTGTAAGCCATAATCATCACAATTATGACAAATCACGGCTTGAACTATCTTGCTTTGCCTGTAAGGAGTCTCTCTCATATTTAAGTTGCATTACTGAAATAAATGAACTTTTGCACGATATTCTAATTTTTTGAGTTTCACCTGTATGTGGTGTTCTATGGAGTGATGTGTTGGTGCATATGTGGTATGAGTACTTGGTCATATGCATGTGGATTAGTTTTGGAGTGGGTTCTAGGTAGGGGGAATTGGGGTTATGTGCTGTAGTTTTTGGGTAAGATGATAGTATGCTTGGGTTGTGCATGAGATTTTTTAATGTATTCCTGAGCAGGGAGGTAATTTACTCCCATTGAGATTTTTGAGTACCATGGTTAGGATACAGGAAGTTACAAAGGTTATATTTTTTCATTTTGTAGTTGTACCATCATTTGGTGTCAGACAGGTTGCAGCCTCATTCTCCTCCCTGAGTGTTCCAGTGCCTGGACAGCATCTCCCACCTTTCCTTGGCTAGGAGTAAGTTGGAGTCATCATCACCACCAGCGGTGTGATGGTAGCTAGGAGTGACAATTACACCTGACATTTTATGCCTTTTTAAAGTTGTGGTAAGAGTTTTTGCCAATATGTCGGTTAAGTCATTTATATTGCTTTGTGTGTATGGTAATATCAGTATGGTGCACTAATTATTGTGATTGCTTGTAAAACTGCGGAGTGGGAATTAATTAGAGATGAGCGAAGTATTCAAAAATTCGATTCGACTGATTCGGCGAATTCGTGGAAAAATTTTGATTCGAGTCGAATATATTCGCTGTGAATTTAACTTAAAAAAGGGTGTTTCTAGGCTTCAGAGAGACTTAATATTAGTGCAGAACACTGTACCTTTAATTTAAATGCCCTTGGAGTCTGCTGGGGAAGAGAAATCATACTGTCAGTCAGTATGACATGCAGATGAGTGCCGTTGATCTTAGAATCACCGCACACTTCACTCATTTGGGCAGTCACGGGGCCAAAACCAGAGTGTGGAGCCACAGTGTGGCGGTGGAGGCAGCAGCAATGGGAGGCCATACAGCACCCTATGACAAAAATGGAAACCACCAGCAGTGTGAGGAGACCTGAAAGTGGCACATGGCAGAGTGTGGCGATAGAGACAGCAGCAATGGGAGGCCGTACAGGGACCCATGACACACTCTGGACCTGGCAGCAGCATGAGGAGGCGGTACAGGGGCCCATGACAGATTTCGGGCCTGGCAGCAGCATGAGGAGTCGGTACGGGGGCCCATGGCAGATTACGGGCCTGGCAGCAGCAATGGGAGGCCGTACAGGGACCCATGACACACACTCTGGACCTGGCAGCAGCATGGGGAGGCGGTACAGGGGCCCATGACAGATTACGGGCCTGGCAGCAGCATGAGGAGTCGGTACGGGGGCCCATGACACACTCTGGACCTGGCAGCAGCATGAGGAGGCGGTACAGGGGCGCATGACAGATTACGAGCCTGGCAGCAGCAACTTGGACAGGAGGACGTTCAGCTTCTGCACCGTCGGGTGCGTGCTCGCAAACTGTTGTCTCTTGGAAACGGATTCCAAGAAAGACTGCTGACGGAATCCGTGAAGAGGAGTAGCAGGAGAAGGAGCATCTGAACGAGCGGAATATGCCAACAAGCGACAACAGGGGGCCCATAACAGATTACGGGCCTGGCAGCAGCATGAGGAGTCGGTACGGGGGCCCATGGCAGATTAGGGGCCTGGCAGCAGCTATGGGAGGCCCGTAATCTGCCAGCACCCTATGACAAAAAATGGAACCCACCAGCAGTGTGAGGAGACCTGAAAGTGGCACATGGCAGAGTGTGGCGATGGAGACAGCAGCGATGGGAGGCCGTACAGGGACCCATGAGAGACTCTGGACCTGGCAGCAGCATGAGGAGGCGGTATAGGGGCCCATGGCAGATTAGGGGCCTGGCAGCAGCTATGGGAGGCCCGTAATCTGCCAGCACCCTATGACAAAAAATGGAACACACCAGCAGTGTGAGGAGACCTGAAAGTGACACATGTTTGGGGCATGATTCATGGCGGATTTAGTCAGTTGTGTCAGGAACTGGTGGTTTGAAATCCAGACTAATCCACGCCTGATTCATTTTCACAAACGTGAGTCTCTCCACACTTTGGGTGGACAGTCGTGTCCTCCGGAGTTGCAATACCTCCTGCCGCACTAAACACGCGCTCCGATGCCACGCTACTGGCCGGGCATGACAGCCTTTCAAGGGCAAATTCAGCTAGTTGGGGCCAAAGGTCAAGTTTCGTTGCCCAGTAGTCAAGGGGATTGTCTACCTCGGTTGGCAGGGTGCTGTCCAAGTAGGCCTAAGCCTGTTGTTTGAGGTCCTGCTCCAGGTCCACGTGATGCTGCTGCTGCGGCTGGTTAGTAGTTTCCTCACTGCGCTGGTGAAGAAAGCTACTCATCATCGACTGCAGACTGAGGCAGCCGCTGCTGGTGGAGCTGCCACTGCTCCTACCACCCCACCCCTCCCCTGCTGCCATGGCAGCGGAACGCGAGCGCACAGGGCCCACAGTGTCTGAGGATGGACGTTGGCGCAGACAGGCAGAGACCAGCTGACTACATAGGTGGTTTTTATAGTACGTTATTTTGGCCTCCCTCTCAGCAGGTGTGAAAAAGGCCACCATTTTTGAACGGTAGCGAGGGTCCAACAAGGTGGACAGCCAAAAGTCATCCCTCTGTCTGATGGTTATTATTCGGCTGTCGCTACGCAAGCAAGCGAGCATGCTATGGGCCATTTGTGCCAAGGAATGCGAGGGACTCCCTGCCTCCATCTCCACAGCATACTGCCACGGTGCGTCTGGGTCCTCTGTCTCCTCTCCTCCTCCTCTACCAGATGCTCCTGCTCCTCCACTCCTGTCCGCTGAGTGGAAAAACCACCCATTTCACTCAATAATTCCTGAGCACCAATGTCCTCCTCTACCTCCTCCTCTTCTTCCTGTCCTGCCCCCACAGGGGTCATGTGGCGTTGAGATCTGTGCGCCACGTCTACCGCACCCTGACCAGCCATTGTTAACAGCATTTGTTCCAGGACGTGAACAGAGGAATGACGTCGTTCATCCCATAGTCCTGCCGACTCACGAATAGCGTGGCCTCCTCAAAGGGCCTGAGCAAGCGCAGGTGTCACGCATGAGCTGCCAATGGCTGACATCTAAGTTACACAGGGAGTACCTTTATCCGCTTTTAACATCAGGAAATCTGTGATGGCCTTTTGCTGTTCGTAAAGGCGGTCTAACATATGTAGGGTTGAAATTGTTGGCACCTTGATATTTTTCCTGAAAAGCAAGTATTTCACGGTACGGGGGTATTGCATTAACACATGTTTTGCTAGCAGCATGTTTATTCCCTTTGTAATTGGACCCAAATATAAAACAGAGGCAGAAAAGCAAATATGACATAATGTCACCAAAAACCACAAAAATGGGCTGGACAAAAGCAATTGGCACCCTTAACTTAATATTTGGTTGCACACCCTTTGGAAAACATAACTGAAATCAGTCGCTTCCTATAACCATCAATAAGCTTCTGACACCTCTCACCCGGAATTTTGGACCACTCTTCCTTTGCAAACAGCTCCAGGTCTCTCTTATTGGAAGGACACCTTTTCCCAACAGCAATTTTAAGATCTCTCCACAGGTGTTCAATGGGATTTAGATCTGGGCTCATTGCTGGCCACTTCAGAACTCTCCAGCGCTTCTTTGCCATCCATTTCTTGAGTGCTTTTTGACGTATGTTTGGGGTCATTGTCCTGCTGGAAGACCCAGGATCTTGGACGCAAACCCAGCTTTCTGACACTGGGCCCTACAGTGCGACCCAAAATCCTTTGGTAATCCTCAGATTTCATGATGCCTTGCACACAGTCAAGGCACCCAGTGCCAGAGGCAGCAAAACAACCCCAAAACATCATTGAACCTCCACCATATTTTACCGTAGGACTGTGTTTTGTTCTTTGTAGGCCTCATTCCGTTTTCGGTAAACAGTAGAATGATGTGCTTTACCGAAAAGCTCTATCTTGGTCTCATCTGTCCACAAGACGTTTTCCCAGAAGGCTTTTGGCTTACTCAAGTACATTTTGGCAAACTGTAGTCTTGCTTTTTTATGTCTCTGTGTCAGCAGTGGGGTCCTCCTGGGTCTCCTGCCATAGCGTTTCATTTCATTTAAATGTCGACGGATAGTTCGCGCTGACACTGATGCTCCCTGAGCCTGCAGGACAGCTTGAATGTCTTTGGAACATGCTTTGGGGCTGCTTATCCACCATCCGGACTATTCTGCGTTGCAATCTTTCATCAATTTTCCTCATCCGTCCACGACCAGGGAGATTAGCTACAGTGCCATGGGTTGCAAACTTCTTGATAATGTTGCGCACTGTGGACAAAGGCAAATCTAGTTCTCTGGAGATGGACTTGTAACCTTGAGATTGTTGAGGATTTTGCCACAATTTTGGTTCTCAGCACCCTCAGACAGTTCTCGTCTCCTCTTTCTGTTGTCCATGCTAGTGTGGCACAGACAGACACACAATGCAAAGGTTAAGTGAACGTCTCTCCTTTTTATCTGCTTTCAGGTGTGATTTCTATATTGCCCACACCTGTTACTTGCCCCAGGTGAGTTTACAGGAGCACATCACATGCTTGTAACATTCTTATTTATCCGCAGTTGTGTAAAGGGTGCCATGAATACTTTTGTCCAGCCCATTTTTGGAGGTTTGTGTGACATTATGTCGAATTTGCCTTTCAGCCCTTTTTTTGTTTTGTCCCAATACACACTGGGAACCCATGTGTATAGCAAAAAATGTGTTAATGCAACCAGTTTCGTGAGAAATACATGAGGAGACCTGAAAGTGGCAACATGGCATGAGAGTGTGGCGATGGAGACAGCAGCAATGGGAGGCCGTACAGGGACCCATGACAGACTCTGGACCTGGCAGCAGCATGAGGAGGCGGTATATAGGGGGCCCATGCAGATTAGGGGCCTGGCAGCAGCTATGGGAGGCCCGTAATCTGCCAGCACCCTATGTCAAAAAATTGAACACACCAGCAGTGTGTGAGGAGACCTGAAAGTGGCACATGGCAGAGTGTGGCGATGGAGACAGCAGCAATGGGGAGGCCGTACAGGGACCCATGACAGACTCTGGACTTGGCAGCAGCATGAGGAGGCGGTATAGGGGCCCATGGCAGATTAGGGGCCTGGCAGCAGCTATAGGAGGCCCGTAATCTGCCAGCACCCTATGTCAAAAAATTCAACACACCAGCAGTGTGTGAGGAGACCTGAAAGTGGCACATGGCAGAGTGTGGCGATGGAGACAGCAGCAATGGGAGGCCGTACAGGGACCCATGACAGACTCTGGACTTGGCAGCAGCATGAGGAGGCGGTATATAGGGGCCTATGGCAGATTAGGGGCCTGGCAGCAGCTATAGGAGGCCCGTAATCTGCCAGCACCCTATGTCAAAAAATTGAACACACCAGCAGTGTGTGAGGAGACCTGAAAGTGGCACATGGCAGAGTGTGGCGATGGAGACAGCAGCAATGGGAGGCCGTACAGGGACCCATGACAGACTCTGGACTTGGGCAGCAGCATGAGGAGGCGGTATATAGGGGCCCATGGCAGATTAGGGGCCTGGCAGCAGCTATGGGAGGCCCGTAATCTGCCAGCACCCTATGACAAAAAATGGAACACACCAGCAGTGTGTGAGGAGACCTGAAAGTGGCACATGTTTGAGGCATGATTCATGGCGGATTTAGTCAGTTGTGTCAGGAACTGGTGGTTTGAAATCCAGACTAATCCACGCCTGATTCATTTTCACAAACGTGAGTCTCTCCACACTTTGGGTGGACAGTCGTGTCCTCCGCGGAGTTACAATACCTCCTGCCGCACTAAACACGCGCTCCGATGCCACGCTACTGGCCGGGCATGACAGCCTTTCAAGGGCAAATTCAGCTAGTTGGGGCCAAAGGTCAAGTTTCGTTGCCCAGTAGTCAAGGGGATTGTCTACCTCGGTTGGCAGGGTGCTGTCCAAGTAGGCCCAAGCCTGTTGTTTGAGGTCCTGCTCCAGGTCCACCTGATGCTGCTGCTGCTGCTGCGGCTGGTTAGTAGTTTCCTCACTGCGCTGGTGAAGAAAGCTACTCATCATCGACTGCAGACTGAGGCAGCCGCTGCTGGTGGAGCTGCCACTGCTCCTACCACCCCACCCCTCCCCTGCTGCCATGGCAGCGGAACGCGAGCGCACAGGGCCCACAGTGTCTGAGGATGGACGTTGGCGCACAAAGGCAGAGACCAACTGACTACATAGGTGGTTTTTATAGTACGTTATTTTGGCCTCCCTCTCAGCAGGTGTGAAAAAGGCCACCATTTTTGAACGGTAGCGAGGGTCCAACAAGGTGGACAGCCAAAAGTCATCCCTCTGTCTGATGGTTATTATTCGGCTGTCGCTACGCAAGCAACCGAGCATGCTATGGGCCATTTGTGCCAAGGAATGCGAGGGACTCCCTGCCTCCATCTCCACAGCATACTGCCACGGTGCGTCTGGGTCCTCTGTCTCCCTCCTCCTCCTCTACCAGATGCTCCTGCTCCTCCACTCCTGTCCGCTGAGTGGAAAAACCACCCATTTCACTCAATAATTCCTGAGCACAAATGTCCTCCTCTACCTCCTCCTCTTCTTCCTGTCCTGCCCCCACAGGGGTCATGTGGCGTTGAGATCTGTGCGCCACGTCTACCGCACCCTGACCAGCCATTGTTAACAGCATTTGTTCCAGGACGTGCAACAGAGGAATGACGTCGTTCATCCCATAGTCCTGCCGACTCACGAATAGCGTGGCCTCCTCAAAGGGCCTGAGCAAGCGGCAGGTGTCACGCATGAGCTGCCAATGGCTGACATCTAAGTTACACAGGGGAGTACCTTTATCCGCTTGTAACATCAGGAAATCGGTGATGGCCTTTCGCTGTTCGTAAAGGCGGTCTAACATGTGTAGGGTTGAATTCCACCTTGTTGCAACGTCGCAGATCAGGCGATGCTGTGCAATTCCGTTCTGCCGCTGCAGCTCAAGGAGGGTGTGCTTTGCGGTGTAGGAATGGCTGAAATGCATGCAAAGTTTACGTGACATTTTAAGGATGTCTTGCAGTGGGATGGTGGATTTTAGGAACCGCTTGACAACCAGATTGAACACGTGAGCCATGCATGGCGCATGGCACAACCTTCCTTGACGCAGAGCAGACACCATGTTCTTTCCGTTGTCGGTCAACATGGTTCCGATTTTCAGTTTGCGCGGAGACAGCCATCTGTCGATTTCTCTGTTCATTACACTGAGAAGTTCCTCCCCTGTGTGACTACGTTCGCCAAGGCATACCAGGTGCAGCACAGCGTGACACCGTTGCGCCCTGCACATGTGATATGCCGGTCGGGTAATGGGACTTGGCACGGGGGGGTGGCGGCTGAGGACACGGCGGAAGAAGAGGTGGTAGAGGCGGACATCTTTGCCGGACCAAGGACGTGCAAACGTGGAGGCAAAAGCGGCGTGACCTGTCCAAGTTGCTGGTGCGGCTGTGACGGCACCACGTTCACCCAGTGGGCCGTAAATGACATGTACTGTCCCTGACCGTAGTTACAGCTCCACACGTCGGCGCTGCCGTGCACTTTGGCAGAGACCGACATGCTCAAAGACTGGCCCACCATCTCTTCTACATGTGAATGCAGGGCTGGCACTGCCTTTTTGGCGAAGAAATGACGGCTTGGCACTCTCCACCGCGGCGCGGCACAAGCCATCATTTCTCGGAAAGGTGCTGAGTCCACCACTTGGAAAGGGAGGGACTGCAGCACCAGCAACTTGGACAGGAGGACGTTCAGCTTTTGCACCGTCGGGTGCGTGCTCGCAAACTGTTGTCTCTTGGAAAACGGATTCCAAGAAAGACTGCTGACGGAATCCGTGAAGAGGAGTAGCAGGAGAAGGAGCATCTGAACGAGCGGAAGATGCCAACGAGCGACAACTCCCCTCAGCAGAGGTGTTGGAGCCTTGACTGGCTGATGGAGGGCGATTGACGTCAGGTGACGGAGCAAGTAACGGAGCGGGTGATGGAGCTGGGGGGCTGGGGCGGGCAGAACCGCCGTATCTTTATCACGGTTTTCCCAGGCCACAAATGGCGACGCTGCATATGCTGCCGCAACGCTGTAGTCCCAACATGGGCCCCCTGGCCACGCTTGACTTTCTGGCCACATAGTCGACATACGGCTACGTTTACTTCCTCGGGCGGCTTGACAAAAAATTGCACACACCGCCGAGTAGGAAACTTTGCCCCCGATACTCCTCACTGGCTGACTGCTGCTTCCTCCGTGCACACCGGCACCACTACTGGCCGGCCGTGGTGGTAGGCTGCAGTGGAGCTGGTGCTCTACTCCGTGGCCGTTTGGCTCCACTGACACTGCTGCGACCCTGCTGCTGTCTCCTGGGCAACCCACCGACTGTTTTGCTCGCTGCCAAGCTGCCACCCTCTTCTCCTGATGATGCGGAAGAAATTGCCTGATGACGACGAGGCTGCCAAGTGCGATCAACCTCCTCATCATCAAGTAGGGTCTCCGCCTCACTACTAGCCCCCTCGGCTGCGTGTGGGTCAGGAGACAGACCTGTCTCTAGACCGGCTACCCGAGCCACTCTCCTCGCCACTACTTCTTCGCCTGGCTGCTGAAAAGGCGGATGTCTCCCCCCGTTCCTGACCGCCCTCTGTTAGCTCTTCCTCACTGTACAGTGGGGCTGAGCCCACAGCATGCGATACTTCGCTTGGTGAGGGAACACCAAAGGACAGGGGCAGGTAGAGGACACGTGATTTCAGTGGGCTTGGTCCCGGGCCATGCCAACTAACGGTTGTGTCTGACGTACCCACCGACCGTTGGCTGTAGGTGTCAGAGGTGACCTGGGAAGAGGAAGACGACCGAGCCAACCAATCGACGACGGCAGGGTTGTCGGTGGAGACACGACCGCTGGATGACACGGGAGCACTGGCCTCTGGCTGCGAATAGTGCTGCCTCGACCCCTTCCTCTGCTGCCACGTCTGCTCGCTCCTAAAACATTGCCTCCTCTGCCCACTCCTCTGCATGTTGTCTGACATACTCTTTAATTCAACGATTCTGTGTCCCTGAGTAACAATTCTGTGTCTGTCCCTGAGTAACAATTCTGTGTCTGTCCCTGAGTAACAATTCTGTGAGTAATTAACGTTTATGTGGCCCTAAGTAACGGTTCTGTGGCCCTCAGTAACAATTCTGTGTCCCTGAGTAACAATTCTGTGTCTGTCCGAGTAACAATTCTGTGGCCCTAAGTAACAATTCTGTGTCCCTGAGTAACCTTTCTGTGTCCCTGAGTAACAGTTCTGTGGCCCTCAGTAACAATTCTGTGTCCCCTGAGTAACAATTCTGTGGCCCTAAGTAACGGTTCTGTGGCCCTCAGTAACAATTCTGTGGCCCTGAGTAACAATTCTGTGTCTGTCCGAGTAATCAATTCTGTGTCTGTCCCGAGTAACAATTCTGTGTCCCTGATTAACGTTTCTGTGGCCCTAAGTAACGGTTCTGTGGCCCTAACTAACGGTTCTGTGGCCCTCAGTAACAATTCTGTGTCCCTCAGTAACAATTCTGTCTGTCCCTGAGTAACAATTCTGTGGCCCTCAGTAACAATTCTGTGTCCCTGATTAACGTTTCTGTGGCCCTCAGTAACAATTCTGTGTCTGTCCCTGAGTAACAATTCTGTGGCCCTAAGTAACGGTTCTGTGGCCCTCAGTAACAATTCTGTGTCCCTGAGTAACAATTCTGTGGCCCTAAGTAACGGTTTCTGTGGCCCTCAGTAACAATTCTGTGGCCCTAAGTAACGTTTCTGTGGCCCTCAGTAACAATTCTGTGGCCCTAAGTAACGGTTCTGTGGCCCTCAGTAACAATTCTGTGGCCCTAAGTAACGGTTGTGGCCCTCAGTAACAATTCTGTGTCCCTCAGTAAACAATTCTGTGTCTGTCCCTGAGTAACAATTCTGTGGCCCTAACTAACGTTTCTGTGGCCCTCAGTAACAGTTCTGTGGCCCTCAGTAACAATTCTGTGTCCCTGAGTAACGTTTCTGTGGCCCTAATAACGTTTCTGTGGCCCTAAGTAACAGTTCTGTGGCCCTCAGTAACAATTCTG